TCGCAATGTCACCCGAAGAACGAGTACCTTTTCATACTTTGAAGTAATTGTGGTTGGCAAGAGAAAAGCCACTAAATTGTCTGAGGAATGACAACATCTCTGAAGTGGATTCAGAGAGACGATTACACGGAAAAGTAATATGGTTTGATTGCAAGAAAGGTTACGGATTTATCGACGTTCCTGGCTTTCCAGAAGATATTTTCGTGCATTACTCCGCAATTGTCGACACACCATCTGGACAAACTTTTTTAATGCATGATGAAAATGTGAAATTCCATGTTGTCCAAGACCACCGGGGATGGCAAGCTCGAAAATTGACAAAAATCAAACATTGATATTGCCGAAAACAACAAAATTATTCTATGACACGTAGTCGTGACATGCCAATTTTTTTTGAAGTTGACAAATTATAGAAACCGTTTCGAGAAATTGACAAAATAGAATGTCTAATCTTGAATAAATATTTTTTCGGCCTTAATTATTATTGACCGTTCATCAAGTGTAGATCTGTTTGATGAAGCCAATTTTGAAATAGTCCTTTTATTTATGAAATCTTGGTCTATCTTTTTCTACTATCGTCTAAGCACAATCGATCTAGAATGAGTGACCATGAGGTGTGAGTGTAGGTAGGTGTTAGCGGTCGTTTATATCACCATCAACATATCCCCAACTCTTTCTTACTTTTCTTTCTTTCATCTTTTATTTATCGTTTTTCTCTTCTTCTAATATATCTAAATATGTGCACAACATGTTCAGGATCTTTATGTATACATAAAAATACAATAAACTTGAGTGTTGGTGTGAATGCGTCTCTTCTATTCATCCACACACTTACCCTTCGACATCGAATTTAATTTATGATCTTGCACAACATCAAACAATGCACAAAACTTATTTATGGTATGTTCAAAATTGTTTTGTTCTAGTTTCAAAATAGATCTAATAGCTTCAGTTGTCCATGTGTTTCAAATAAATATGACGCAAAAAATATCTCAGTATTTCTTAGAGACGAAAAGAGTCTTGTGATATCAATGAATACAACATGGTTTTTTTTGTCAGAAAAAAGAAAAAAACTACTGTTGATACATGTGCCATTGAGATAGGCACAGGTTATCTTTGAATAACGCGTACTGTCGTACAATATTGCTTATGCAAAAACTCGGTTCTTTTTTCTCTTGAGTTATTGTCAAAGATGCAAAACATTATCACCTACGTTTGTAAGTTTACATATGAAAAAAAAAATCAGTAAAATAATTTTTTAATGACATTTGTTTCTGTTCAAGTAATTGTTTTTTACTGCTGCAGTGTGTCTTTATTAGCAGTTGAGATTAGTCCTTGTGCAAGATGGAATCCACACGGTATAACAGTGATAGGTAATGGAATCCCTGGCAATGCGCCGAATCAACTGGCGACACCCAAAGGAATTTTCTTGATGAAAAGAACCCACACGTTGTATATTGCTGATTTTGGTAATCAACGAGTTCAGATGTTTTCATTAAATCGATCATCGGATTTAGCTACAACTGTTATATCTAATGTCAATACTCCTTCAAAGATTTATGTTGACGATGACGAGGATGGACCAACAATTTATATTTCAGTTTTCATTGGAAATCGAGTCGAGAAATGGATAAGTGGAGCATCAATAGGAATTCAAATAGGTGATGAATGTCGGTCGTGTTTTGGTGTAGCGGTAGATTCAGAAAAAAATGTCTACATGTCAGAAGCAGATAGACATCGAGTAGTGAAATGGTTAGCTCAAACAAATTCGACAACAGTTGTCGCTGGTCAAACGGATAAAAGGGGAACAACAGATGAATATCTCAACAATCCTGATGGACTTTACTTTGATCGAAGTAGCGACGTTTTGTATGTTGCTGATGCATATAATAACAGAATTCAAAAATGGGCAAAGAATACTATATCAGGCATTCGAGTTGCTGGATCGAATACATCCGCTCCGGGTGATGATACTGGATCCTTAGATGAACCCAATGGTGTTTGGATTGATCAACAAACAAAAATTATTTATGTGGCTGATACATCAAATCATCGAATCATGCGATGGCTTCCAGATGCGTCTGTAGGCGATATCATAGCGGGTGGTCAAGGTATGAGCGAGAGTTTTGAATGGACTCAGTCCATATTTGTGTCTTCGAAAGTATCTCAACTGAGCTCCTTCGAAGTACGAGAGAGAAACCGAAAGATAAATAAAAGTAATGATACTACTAGTACTAATATTGTCCTTGAGGCAAAAACATTATTCTAATTAAAATTGGCATTACAAATAATAGCTTTTGCCATGGTACTTGTGCATGACAGAGAAGGATATGACAAAAAATTAACTGTAGTTTTTCTCGTTGAATATACTTTTTCTTTATGTTCGAACAAATATAGATTTTCCTCCAGGGATAAACTTCAGGAAACTGTTATCAATTAATTATGATGAATAGAAATCAATAATATTAAAAGGAAACATCACTATTTGATATCCATAGCTTAGATCTGTAGTAGCTAAACCAATGATGGTTCTTTTTTTTTCAAAACATAAAAAAAATATTTGAAATTTTACTGTATCTGACGATATTGGAGAACAGGTTCAGGCAATGCAACAAATCAATTTAATACACCGACTGATTTGACATTCGATAGTGCAGGAAATCTGTATGTATGTGACAATTGGAATCACCGTATACAATTGTTTTCTATCATTGATAATAAACCATGCTCTCCAACTTCAACACGTAAAATTCAATTATATCATATGACTTTATAAAAAAAATTTTCTTTTATTCTACAACAGTAAAAAGTCAGGCATTGGGTTTGCACTCTGATCTATATAACAATTGGACAATAATCACAACAATTCTGTCAATATTAACATGGATTATTGGAGATGTATTCTGATCACGTTTCTATGCCATGCTGAAAATTGACTACATGATGATAATTAATCTAATGAACGACTACATTTCTATTTTTATTGACATGTGTTCTAATAAATCAAAATGTATGAAGACCGATCATATATATGACTCTATTTCTGATTTCCATGAGAGAATACATGATTACTGTTGCTTTATATATCTACCTCAAAACAGATAGAGTGAACAACAAACTGCCAAGTTCGAATTAAGGTTAAAACACACACCCACACCCTTTCCTGCTATAGCTATTTCGTATAATCCGAATATGTTTTGATTATGGCATGATCTCAGTGGGGTGTTGGTGTGAGTATGGTGCATGAGAAGACAAGATTCAAACATCCACACCCCCCTGATATTCGGGATGGCTATGGGTGAGATTGAAGGAAAACCAACACACACATACGTGTAACAAAGACATGTATCGGTATTTTTACCTAAAGTTATTTAATTTCTTTTGATTGATGTTCATTCTTGAGAAACTCAGCAACATTCATTAACAAAAAAAATACTGGTTGAACATGGAACTCAAATTATGTCTAATCATTTTATTTTTTGTTATTTAGGCTTTTGTTAAAATGAATTTTTTTTTATCTTTGAATTAGATATGATGAGACGATGTCCTGAAATAAAAAGCAATCAATTAAAATAATTTTCCTCATATATATATAACTTTTATTTATTTCAACTCTTGATCGTATAAAAAATAATTTCTTCGATTTTAATCATCATATTTTCTATTATATATATTCGAGAAATATTCATTGAAATGTAGAGAAAAAAAAACAAATATAATCTCCATATGAGTCTCGCATCATTTCTATCGTTGAATATCAAACGTCAGATATGCCTTTTTTGTTGTGCTCGATGAAAATACATATATATATATGCATATGCAAAAGAGATTATCAAACATTGATCGACAAGATCTTCTCTTTTCATTTGTCCATACAGAAAAAAAAATGCAAAAACTATTTCAAATCTATACTAAAATTTGTCAATATCGATCAATACTCATTATAATTTTTCTTCTCTTTATTCTTCTCATTATCGTACTTATTATTACTATTATAACAACAAAAACTATATTTCTATCTAATACCTATACAACCATTAATATCCTTTCAAGTACATCTTCACCTCCTATCAATGAATCTTGTTACATGTCAACAATAACATCATTAATTCCATGTGGTTGTCCAATTAAATCTACTTTAAAAATCATCAATGGACAATCATCTAATCAAGGTGCATGGCCATGGATGGTTAGTTATGGTCCTAAACGTATTCATATATGTGGAGGTACACTTATTGCTCCAGAATATATCATAACAGCAGCACATTGTCTTTATTCAAAGGATAAAAATAATCCAATTGATATTGCAAATATTGAAATACGTATTGGTATAACTAATTTAAATGATGTTACTTATGAAAATCTATTCTCTATTCGAAAAGCTACTTTACATAATGATTTCAATCCTAATACTTATAAAAATGACATTGCATTAATACGATTAGATCGATCAGTTATACAATCAGATACTATACAAATGTTATGTCTTCCTCATTTTACATCATATATATATCCACAAGTGAATACAACAGTTATTGCTATTGGTTGGGGTCATACAATTGATCCATTAATAAATCCAAATTCACAAATATCAATACAACTTCAACAAACATATCTTCCTATATTACCAATAATTAAATATGAAAATAATACAAATTTATGTTATAATCAAGAAATTGATTCACCTGATCAACAATTTTGTGCTGGTTATGAAAATGGTTTATCTGATACATGTCAAGCTGATAGTGGATCACCATTAATGTTCTTTAATGAACAACATTGGGAACTTGTTGGTATTGTTAGTTATGGTATAGGTTGTGCACAAAAAATGTTACCTGGAGTTTATACACGTGTATCAGCTTATCTCGATTGGATTCATGATCGAATTCGATATTAACAAAAAAAAAAAAACTGTTTATTTATTTGAATAGATATATATACATATATATTTATTTATTTATATATTTATAAAAATAATTCAAATTTTTTTTTCTTTTCTTTTACACCCAAATTCCACTTGGGCATAATTTTAATAAAGTACTATTCATAAGTTCAAGATGACCTGATTTAACAATATCAGTTGATGAATTTGAATGAAAATGATATGGTGATTTAGCCAGACCTATTGAAGAAAAAAAAAAAAAAGGAAACCAAATTTTTCAATTTTGTTCAAAAGATTTCTTTTTTTAAGTGAAATATACACATATATGTGTAGACATGCGAATAATGTGATGAAAAGCTAACCTCATCTAATTATTATTTAATTATTAACTAAAAGTTTATATATATATATATTGGATTATTAACATTTTGAATTAAAAATTTTAACTTACTATAAATCAATAAATTATCTAATTGAACTACTTCATTTTCTAATTCAATTATTCGTTTTCGACGTTGTTGAATAATACGTTCTGTATCATCAGTACGTTGAGTTAATATACGTAACAAATCTTCTTGTTGTTTCAATGAAGAATTTGAACGTTCAAGGTCATATTCACATTGAATTATTTCCTATAAAGAATATCGATAAGACATTTATTCTTATGATCTTCAACTTTCTCACAATTTGCTTTGACTAATAATGTAGTAAAGATAGAGAGAGGGAGCAGAGATGTCCATGGCGGCGCGGCAGCGGCAGGTTTCTTAAAAACTCATCGCGGCAGCGGCAGAGTTTTTAAAAGCTCATCGCGGCAGCGG